TGCATAATTTTAAAAGGCAGATGATCAATCATAATGACAAAGTAATCAAAATAAGAACAATTCAATCATGAATGATCAAGTTAGAAATTGTTAAAGTTTAATAACTAAAATCAGAATAAAAATAAAGTTGAGTGATGAAATTTGTACTTTACCAATATATATAACCACTTTCATATTTATCTTTTTTTAATATTATTTAATTAAAAATAAACCTTACGTGTCGAATCAAATATTTTAAAATTCTTAATAAAAGCAAAAAAGAAAAGCAATATATGAAAAAAAACTCGTTATCGGTTACGAAAACAATAAAACAACCAAATTAAATAATTACACGTGTCACAAAACTTGTTTCTCCCTCAAATCAACTAATAAAGTCAACCATAAAAACTAACCTAGCTGTGAACTTATCAACCAGTATCTACTTTATTAATTTTTTTTTTTTTTGGTTTGCTTCTTCTTCTTCTTCTTCTTTAATTTTAATTTACGTCCAACTCGAACAGAGCCTTGTTTATGTTTTGGTTCTTTTAGAACTGAAGAAGATACATAGTCAGTCTTCGGATCTGAAAAATGTTTTTTTTTGGGGTTTAGATTTTCTTTAATTATATATATGTATTTCGATTTCGTTTAAGTTTTTTTTAATGATTAATGATCCAAATCTGACACCCGAATCATGAGAAAGAAGCTCGATACCCGTTTCCCAGCTGTAAGCTTCTATCTTTTTCTTATTTTTTTCCTTTTACTTTTCTCTGAATTTGTTTCCCCCCTTTTTAATCAGATGTTAGTTTGAGTTGGGCGTTTGATTTTTGGTTGATTTGATGGAAAATGAAATCTGGGTTAATTATAGTTTTTGATTATGTGCTTGTTTTTGTTGCTGCGATTCCGATTTGTAAGGTAGTTTTCGTGACAATGGTCATCGTTAATTTTCCATGTATTAGTTGACTCTGTGTTCAATGTTTACGGTTTTTGGTTATTTAGTTTATGATTGTTTCAATTATATGGAATTTCATGGACTGTGATGTTGGATTTGTGTTTTTCAAAGTTCTTTTAGGGAGGATTCTTTGTTTTTTGATGTTCTATGAAAATCTCATGTTGGTTTGATAATGTTTTTGATTGTTTCTTTGAAGTCGGTCGATATTACTGAGATATGTTCAATTTCCCAAATATTGTTTGATGATTCTTAGTCTGCAGAATGTTTAGCTGACTGAGTTCTACAACTTTAGTTTCTTGTTAATCATCGGGTCCTAATTCGCTCTTGACATCATGGGCATTTGTGTTACTCCGACTCGGTTTTTTGGAAGTACCCTTCTTCGACCTTCCAATGACCTTAGACATGGAAAAAACTTAGAAAAAGTTGGACATACCTATGTTAAACGCTCCCCTTATCCGACACTCACACCTAAGTGTTGAGTAACATAGCTTAGCTGTGTCCTATCTTCTCACACCACACTTAGAACTTGTGTTATGTTGCTCCGTCGACGATAATAAACCAGCAACTCACAAGGATGCCTATTTGATGAAGCTCTCATTTGATGGAAATAGTCTATAAGGACATCTATGTGTCGAAGTTCCTATCTTCTTGTCCTGATATTCTGTGTGTAGTTAACATTCTGTCTTGTTTGTTACTGATTTTGGGGTTTGCTGTTTTATATTCGGATATCAGGTAATGTTAATCTCTTATAATTAAGATATACTGGTTTGTGGTCCCGCAACTCCATTTGATGTTGTATCTTTCAAGCCGTTTTCTGCCTGGAGAATATGCGGATGTTTTCCTGATGTTTTGTATATGCTTTAGGACTGTGGGTTGCATTGTCATGCTTGCCTATGAGTCTTCTTCTTGGAATGATATTCCCTTGACAATGGTTTTCTTATAATTTTTACCGATCTTAGCTATGATTAATGCTGAAACATTAGAGCATATTTGTTTTTCAGGCTCGCATCAAAAAGATCATGCAATCAGATGAAGATGTCGGGAAGATTGCATTAGCAGTGCCTGTTTTAGTTTGTGAATGACTATAACTTTCATGATTTACCAAAATAATTCCTCCATGCATGTATAGTACTTGCTCATGCTACTTTGTATTACTTTTCAGCGAAAGCATTGGAATTGTTTCTCCAAGACCTTTGTGACCGTACGTATGAAATCACTCTTCAAAGAAGAGCAAAGACCATGAATTCATTGCATTTGTAAGTGAAGAATTAGCATGTGATATCTGTCGTCTGCTTTAGGATTTGACGTTCTTTTCTGCATTTATACACGTTTTCATGCACACATGTTTCTTTTTATTTCACTTTTCTTGATCATGTGCATGTGCATGTGCATGTGCATTAATAATGTTGATATCTACAATATGAATGTCTCCCACCTTAAATGCCTTGGAGGGTTTTGGAGTTTTACTTTAAAGGTTTGGTAGTAGTTTTAGTATCTTAGTTTTTTTTTTCTCGATTTCTTTTACTTTCTTTGGCTTTAATAAAAGGTTCCCCATTAATAGATTTGGCATGAAAGTGGAAATTAAAAAAAAAATAAAGAAGTAAAGGCGAGAAGGGGAAAAGATAGTGTAGATAGATGGATGGATGGATCATGCTACATTTTTAAATTAACAAGCCTTGTGATTAGCATGGTATCATATTATGTGTCTTTGGATCTTGTTCTTTGTTACCCTTATTGTTGTGTATTTTATATGTATTGTGCATTGTTCTAACAAAAGCATCCAACTAAATTGCAGAAAGCATTGTGTACAGAGCTACAATGTATTTGACTTTCTGAGGGACATTGTTAGCCGGGTTCCTGACTATGGTCATGGCCATTCTGAGGCTGCTGCTACTGATGATCGAACTATTTCCCGGAGAAGGTTAGAGAAACCTGGCTCCCCCCTTGTTTCTTACTTTTGAATTTGTAAATGAGACACTTATTTGGTGATATTTTCCCATATCATTCTGCTAGAAAAGCTGCCGGAGATGATGCCAATGATAGTGATGAAGAATCTAAGAGAAGCAGAATGGTAAGATGGTTTTGATTCAACACGTGCCTGCCTGTACATAACGTGTATATATATACACGCGCTCGCGCATGCGTGCTATAAGCGTATGGAACATGGTATGAGCGTGTGCACAACTCTATAGGAATGAATGATGCTAAACTTTTTTTCTTCAGCGATGGAAAAGTATCTGGTTTAAAGTTAATTTGTGAATTTTAGTGTACTGTTTCAGAAACTTCAGTATAAGAATTACTGGGTTTGTTCACTGCTGTGCATGCTGTTTTACATGAATAATAAATTTAACTCAAGTCCATTGTTTGTTTTTCACTCGAATGTCAATATTCAGATCATGCCATTTATATGTGTGTGAGAGTTTAGCTACTTTGACTGACTTCTTTCTTACATGTATTCAACAGCATGATGTGGGTCATGCTGGCACCAGTGGCCGAGGGAGAGGCCGTGGACGAGGCAGGGGTCGTGGAAGAGGAGCTCGACATGTGGAAAGAGATGCTCATCGTGAAATAGAACCAGAACATTGCTCAACACATCAGCAAAACAACAAAAGTCATTCAACCACAGCAATGGCGATAGATGATGGTTCCGAGTTGAAGGATACCGTGAAAGAGAACACAACTGGTGATGATGCCAATCAAGCTGTCCGGAATTTCGATCTGAATGCTGAGGTGGATGAGAATGTGGATACAAAGGCCGCAGCAGCTGCTGCTAAGGTTGCTGAACCTGAAGCCTCTGCCAGTGCACCAGCAGCCACAACTGCAGTGGCAGCAGCTCAACCTTCTTTGCCAGGGCCTACAACAGAGGCTAAACACGAAGAATACCCTGGCTGGTCTCTTTCAGAAATGGACAAGATGGCTATCGATCCTCTTCAACTTGCTCAGCTTGGCGGAAGATTAGACGAGGATGAAGAAGATTACGATGAGGAAGGGTGAGTAGGTAGCAGCTGGACTCCTAGAAAACGTTAGCGGTCAAGATCAGTTTAGCACCCCAAGCAGATAAGATCAAGAAAATGCGAAAATAGTCAAGATGATCTCATTGGAGTATAGTAATATATCCTATGTAGATCTCAAGGGCTCAAATGCATTTCTCTTCTTTGTTTATCAATCATCGTTCCTTTTCTGTTATAGCATTCACTAACATAACTTTGGAAATGGTAGATTCTCACAACCGAAAGACACTAGTCCAACCTGCTCGTTATGCAACGAGAAATTTGTGGTTCCTGGTGTAACTATGATCTTATTCCATGCTCAGTATCGACTTAGTTCATTAATTTTAGTTTCATGATTGTCAACTCATTAGTCTTGCCCATTTCTTCAAGTTCTGCAATGAGAAGAACATGTTTGCCTGCTGTGTTGCAGACAGATTGATTCTGATCCCTCCCCTCTGCCGGACCTAAAACAAGGTTATCTTCAAAACTTATTGGTGAAAGATGTATGGATGCATTTCAAGCTCTCTTTTCATGCATGTGAATTATGATAAATCTTTTTCGTGAATCAAACATGTTATAGCTACCACCGAGCAACCTACTGCCGTCTGACATGTCCGGCCACCTTTAACCACCATCTTTCCTGTTGTTCATCAACATAAACATAGCTAATATAATTATAAATAAAAAGTTCCATTTATTTCATATATACCATAACAAGTATCCAAATCATTATTACAACATTCGGTACAGCACAAACTCCATTGAGGAGGAAAAACACAGAAAATGACCAAAGTTTAAGAGATGGGAGGACAAAAGGTGAGTCTTTTCACTGCTAATAGCATCTCAAACTGCTCCAAAAACAAATACTAAACTGCTTGGAATCAGACACTGCACTTTTGAGATACTTTGAAACCATTGAGGATTTTCATTTTCTTTAAAAAAAAGACGAAAAACATGAGTTTTGAAATATGCTCATGTGAGGTTTATCCTCTGGTTTCCGAAGCAGTGAAATAAGCTTCTCCGATCATTTCGGATGAAAAAGAGGACGAGAACCGGGATATCTTATCCATAAAAAAGCAGTATGAGGAAAAACATAACTGGAGACATAACTAAGGTACAAGGATGATAGTATGTATGTAAGCATATGTTATGTATGACTTTCAATTATTCCTCACGAAAACTAGTTTGGAACTCAGAAAATCTTGGGAAATTGAGTCGGTTGACGATGGTTTTGAATTTGTCTTCGATCTTGGATTAAGCCTCGCCTGTCATATAGATTCAGGAAAAAAAACGAATCATACGTCAAACTTTCAGTGCATCAGAAATAAGAATTTCATGAAGAGAAAACAATCTCTCAAATATCTAGTACGTAGTAATGTTACTTGGGACTCGAATGTGTATTAGATACGGTTTTATTTCGTGTTCGTATGCTCAAAATATGCCAGACTGCTTGCTTGTAGAAACTAAGTTGAAACTAAAACTGTACAAATTACTGGTCAGTAGGACAAACCTCGTACTGTTCGAGCAAGGAAGCAAACAATGTTGCGATTCCTTGAATGACAAATTTCTGGTAAACGCAGGATCGTGTACCGGCACCGAAGGGAAGAAAAGCTGCATTCTCATTCGGATCATTCAAAACAAAAGAACTCTTCCTTTGATCCTTCAGTTCTTCAGCATGTCCTGAAGTGAAGAAAAGCAATTGGATAACTACCTATAGTAGCACCCTGTGATACTGAATGCAAACTAAATCAAAATGAAGGTTAAACCCAAATCTGGAAGAACCGACACGATCATGACACATCAAGTAGTAACGAATTAATGAGCATAATTCAAAGCATGACAGCGAATATAACAGGGAACACAAAAACAAGAAGTGTCATAGTTTTGTGCTAAATTGGAAAGTTTTACCAAGCATTAGCAAATCCAAATTAATAGAAATTTTGGGAAAAGAGTGGAACCTGCAATGGATGTATCCATATTCAGCGAAGCGGATGTTTTTTCAGTCTTACACAGAAAACGATAGGGATTAAATTTACCGGCATCATTTCCCCAACTAGAATCATCCGTCTGCACCAACTGCACAGGTACAACAACTATTGCTCCAGCCGGTACAATTACACCAGACTTGAGCCTCAAATCTTCAACACGCAGTGATGGAAAACATTTGTATAAGTGACCATACAATTAGTGTTATAACTTATAAAACCGCAAGTCTGCAACCATCACGGGACTCTAGTTCTAAACCTCAAAAAGATAATACAATTTCAAATGAGAAATAAAACCTTTCGGTTTTACAAAAAAAGATATTCAAACACCATATGCCATTCCTAAAGCATAAATTAGGTAATAAAATGTCAGAAAACTAAGGTGGTTAGCAGACCCGGAATGGTCTGACAGTATAGAAAATCAAGGTTTTGACATGAAACTCAGAATACTTGAGTGCTGAAAAGTTATTTTTATAAGTTCGATATCGATTCATTTTATGATCAAGGAAGGCATGAAAAAGTATGTCTAATGTCAAAATTTTCCAATTTCAATCTTCGAAAATTGCTCACCGTGTTGCAGGGAACACCTCTGTAGCAAAGGCCCGGCTGGCATAACACGAGCAGACTCATAGATAGTTGCCAACAATAAAGGCATCTTCTCTGCAAGAGGTTGATCTTTTTCCTCTGAACCTTTCCTTGCCATGATTATCTCAGAGCGGATCTGCAGAAGTTCAATTCCAAAGACAAAAATCAATTGCAATCTGGGACCTTCAACTCCAAACCAAATGTATAAACACTTACACACATACACATATATATGCCGTGTGATGAAGGATCATTTAAGTTCAGAAGAAAGTCTCTAAGTACTTCCTAATACTAGCAAAGTAATTGATGACTCGGAAAAGAAAGAAACCGGAAAAGAGGAAGTATACCTTCTGCTGTATTTCAGGATGTGTAACAAGCCTCATCAACATATTACCGATCAAACCTCCAGTCGTTAAGCATCCATGAAACAGCATGCCCATAATATTGCCATAAGGTTCATCTCTTACATTAAGATGGCCATTAAACTTGTAATTTCTACTGCACTCTTGAACAAGGTCTCTAGTTAGGCATTTCAACTTTGTACATAATTGCCGATACCTCCAGAATCCTCGTTCCCAGAAGGGAGTAACACTATACGAGGCCCAAAAGCATGCATCTTTAGCAACCATCATCAAGAGGTCCTCGTAAATAGTAGCCTTTGACCAAGCCAAGAACATTTCACCAAAGATTGTTGCGCCAAGCAAAGTGAAAGCCATATGCTGAGAAGCCATTTTACAATCAACACGTCCTTTGGCCATGTTCTGGTGTAATTCCGCCATGATACGCTCGACAGCCCTGGTCGGGATTAAATTTGCTCTATCAAGAAACTTTACATTCAATTCAGATGCCAATGACTCTCTTCTCTTTTCTACCTGCAGATGATAAAGTGGAAAAATTCCATAGAATGTCAGAAGGTTGTTCGATCATGCCATCGAAAGTATAATTGAAAAATGCAAGAAAACATTTTGTTAGAACAATTCGAAGATCAAACACAACATATTATCCATATGGTGACCAAAAACACCAAAATTATCAAAAGCTTCAACTATAGTTCATAACTAATTTCAAAGACTCAGAAGGCCAAATTATAACCTAAGTCGAGTTAAATTTTCCGGGATTGGATTGGATTTGACCAGGCAACCAATACCACAAGAACTCAAATTGAACTTTGAGCCTCAGACTCCGACGTGGAACTCGAGCTCATACATCTTACATATTGAGCTCCGCTCTGTTCGATTATGCCCCTATCTATAGACTCGGGTAACCACTAACCAGAGACCATCTTCTCCACAAGTTCAACAATAGCAATAGCATCTAAAAGAACTTGTAGGTTTTGAAGTACCTTATCAAAAGAGGAAGCAAATAGGGTGGACTGTCCAAAGGCCAAATTAAAAGCCTTCCCTGTCAATGGAAGTTTATCCTTAGCCTTATACAACATCTCTTTGATGACTTCTGGTTCTTTCATTGAAACCAAAAGCTGATTTGGACTCAACCATAGCTTCACAATTGAACCATATTCCCCATGTGAATCTGACAATACCTCTGCACAAATATTCACACACATATATATACTTATACCAAGAAAAAGAACAGATTTTAACAACCAAAGCAAAACCCAGATTCTCAACATTCGGGTACTGATCATTCTTCTTCATACAAAAGATTGAAGCTTTCAAAACACTGATTCTGGCAAATACAAGAATAACCCAGATTCCAAAAGGAACATAGATTCATCTTTTGCATTAAAAATAATGAGAAAGAAAAGAAAAGAAAGTAGTTTTAAATTTATACCTGTGAGATTTTGCTTGGAGAGAGTATTGAAATGGCCATAAAAGGAAGGAGGAGGAGGGCCTGGGATCTTAGAACCCTGATTCCACAACTTAAAGAGCTTAAACAGCCTGTGAGTAAGAAAATAAGTGATGGATATAAGAGAAATCCAGAGAAAAGCGTTGATTTCCCAAATAGCATATTCTCTGAGAAAACGAGAAGTTTCCCGGGAAAATTCACAGGAACTTGTAGGATCCCAAGCTTGTAAAACAAAACAAAGAAAAGAGTTCATTTTTTCTTCTTCTTCTTTACACTGTTGGTTTCATAAGTAGGGGAAAAGTTGATATTTTGATGGGATTTTGTGTTTGAAGGATCGGATGGGATGTGTGCTTTCAGTTCATGTGGAGAAAATTGAAAAAGATTGAAGCTTTTTGGCTGTGTTTCTTTGACTTTGGAAGGAGAATCTGTGTTTGATTGATGAGGAAATATGGCATCGCATGTGCCACTTGGATGGACTTAACATCAACATTAAGTTACGTGTCTCATTTTTTTCCTTCCAAATCGGATATATTTTAACTCGATTCAATTTTATTAAAAAATTTCACTTTAATTTTTATAATATATCTTATTTGTAGTTAGGGATGTAAATGAGACGAGATAGATCGTGAGTTACTCGAGATTGACTCAACTCAGATCGAATGGACTCGATTCGAGCTCGACTCGAGTTCTTAACGAGCCGAAACGAGCTACTCAATATTCGACTCGAAAAGCTCGTGAGCAGCTCGAAAATATAATATATTAAAATTTTATTTATTTTATAAATAAATTATTAATAATATTAATATTTATGTATTGATTTTTTTTATAAAAAAAATACAGTAAAATTTCTTGTATTTAAGGTTTTTGTTCGAGTTTGAGTGTGAGGCTTCAATCGAGTTAAGTTTAAGAATTTTTTTTTCATTTCGAGCCTTTTCGAGCTACTCACGAGCTTCAGTTTAGGATTTCGAGTTCAAGTCGAGTTTGAAAATTTTAAGCTCGTGAGTTATCGAGTCGAGTCGAGCTTCATTTAAAAGTTTTCGAATTGAATCGAGCTCATCAATACTCAAACTCGACTCGGCTCGTTTACACCCATACTTATAGTGTGTAGTTCATACTTTTTATTTATCTTTATTGATAGTAACTTTAATACTGGTGGTTAATTGTTTATCTTTTCTATTGTCCTATATTTTTTACATAGTATATTTTTTTTGTTTTTAATTTTTAATAAGTATGTCTTTATGATATATTTTTATCTATCTTTATGACATATTTTTCTTTGTCGTTTGACACCTTTTATGACGTTTGATAGTTGTTTTTCATTTATTTTTTTAAATGTTGATTCTACATCAGCACGACTAATCAATATGTCGCTTATCTATTATCATATTAGTCTTCCCTACTTTGAACCCTCATATTGAATTTGAATACTAGATTTGCTTTCGTAGATAGTTTTTTCACGTCACTTGACTCTGATTAGTAGTTTTGTCGGTGGTCTTTCAATAGTTTGATCCCCTTTTTACGGTTTCTTTGTCGATACGACCAAATATGTTTGTATCTATCCTTATTCGAGTTTTGATTAGGTTTTTTAACATTTCTTTGTATGGTTATTGCGTGATCTTAAGTTACTAATTTTGTGTCAATAATTTTAAGAAAATATAGTAATTATGTACTTAATTTACAATAAAGATTATAAATATCTATTGTAATTATGGATACTTTCTTTTTTTTAATAAAACTAATTATTTCTATAAAAATGTTTTTTTTTTAAATTTCGAAGTCAAGTGAGACTAAACTTAAGTAAAATATGTTTAAAAATTCATTGAGTGGTCTTAATATTTAAAAAATAATTATTTGTTTGAAAACATAATTCGAATAATTACATCTATAATATATATAAATTACAAATAATTAAAAAAATATAAAAAATATACTACCGTTATAATCACTCTTATAATCACTCCGTAAATACTTTCAATTTCTTGTCCCATTTTGTAAATCCCAATACCAAACAAAGATATTCATTTTGTGGTCCTCTTTTGCTTGTCTTTATCTCTAAGCCACTTGCAAATATTTGACCAAAAATGATGTCCTTATATGAGCAGTTCACAAAATTATTGTACGAAACTTTATTTAATGTTATAAATAACAAAATATTTAATTATTATAATTTTATTTTTAAATTATATTCAATAATATCAAAAAATTAAAATATATTATGATACGAAAAAAATACAAACAAAAGTAAATAAACACATGCAAAGTCATATAACATGATTTAAATATCATATGTATTTATAAAATTCGACGAGATAATGGCAATAAATCATATATAAAAAATAAAATAAACATAACTATTTTATGTAAAATTTTAGACAAAAATTAACAAATAAAAAAGATATACACCACCCATCATGTACCTGTTTATACTCGTCTGACAGTAACCTCACAAATTACATGAATAATAGAATGTAAAACAAACACGTCCATTAAGAATTATAATAAAATAAGCCAAAGATCAATTGTGTTTATACCCTAACATTGGATTAAATTACAAGTCGTGTCCTATAAAATCTTAAGATTTGTAGAATAGTATCTGAAATTATATTCGTAATTATCCAAATTTATTTATATGGTGGATAACTAATGGGCGGGCAGATGCAAAGCGGATAAGATTTTAAATTCATCACCTACACATTACCTACTACGGGTTTGACATTTTACATCCACACTTGCCCACTATCTATTAAATTTATATCTATCACCGACTCAATTGAAGCGGGTACAATATGAAATCTACAAAATTGTACCCTATTGTCATCCCTTAGTATCTCTACTTATGATTTTAAGAATATATATTTTCCATTTATTTTATTTAAAGATTGAATTTTAAATTAATAACACTATTCTTTCTTTCTCATATTGGATACAATATATTAAAAATGAGAATAAAAATGTGTAAAATAACAGTATTTAAAATATATCAAATATTATAGTAGAGATAGATTGTAACATCTTGTATGACGTTTTAGTAATCATACACAGACACAAAGTTACATTTAGGGACGATGATATAATCGAAATTGGCGAATTTTGATTCGACCGATTTGATAGTCGGATTTAAAAAAAAAATTATATTTGGGTTAGATCAGATCGAGTCGGACTTTTTAAGGGGTGAGGTTGGACCGGGTTTGGATGGAGGGTAAAAATTCTATTCCGACCCGACCGAGAATAATAATGTAATTTTTTTAGAAAAATTATTATTTTTAATTAAGTCCTTATATTATACTGGGTTAGTCATGGTCGAATTTATACTCTAAAAATTTGGATCATATTGGAGTCGGATGGAGGATATATATTTTTCGTTCGGATCGGGTCAAATGGAGGGTATATAATTTTTAGGTCCGGTCAAATTCGGATAGAAGATATATATTTTCATATTAAGTTTGGTTTACCAAAATTCCAACCCTAACTCGACCGGATACATCCCAAAAATCAAATTAGAATATGATTAATTAAAACATAACAAACAATTGATAACATTTGCATCAACAGTCGTCATGTGACATGAAAGAAGAAAAGAACTCGAGCAAGACCATGAATGCAAAAAAGGGTGTATTAAATTGTCTAAATGGATTAATTTGCAAATAATTGGAAGTTTGGCGCTTGATTTGCAAATTGGTAAAATTGGACATTTTTAGAAATAATAAGGGTGTAGTTGGAATTATCATAAAAACAATCGAGATGGGAATAAGATCTAAATTCGATGGGATCCAACCTGACTCGGCCTTATAAATTTATTTTTGTGTTGAAAACTTAATTTAAATCGAATCAGATCTTTTTAAAGTATAAAGCCAGGTTGTTCAGATTTAGGATGAAAACCTCAAACTTAGCCAAAATAACAGTATAATTTTTTCTTATATATTTAAGGATAATTGCAATAATATTTATATATCTATATTTTTCAATTAGATCCTTATTTTACTTAATGAAAATGAGAATTATATATACAATAGAACCAATTAAGTTCAGTGTGAGTTTTTACCCTAAATATCAAATTAAATTTTAAATCGAGTAAAATCTCTCTAGACTTGAATCGATTGAGATTAAATGATAACAAACTACACTTTAAATATGAAATTAGATAATAAAAAATCTCTTTCGTATCATTATTAATTATGCACAAGAAGAACTATTATCATTCATTCTGAGATTGATACGACTATTATAACCAGAAATAAATCACACGTTAAATTTAGGACTAGGTGGTTCTTAATTATAAATTTGACAGCAAGAATAATGGAATTTAGTGAGTTTTCTGTCACCCATGTTAACGATGGCTATCGTCGAGTGACCAGTTCGTTACAAATCGATACTATTAATGATTGATTTGTAACTTTTGAAACTTTAGTGAGAAAAACAAAAAACTTACTTAAACACTAGTGACTGTCTATGTAAGTTACCCTTATACTTGCATGGCTTAATGGTTGTTGAGACTTCCGAGTTTTTGCAAAAGGAGGTTAACATGACCCCCAGAATTTTATTGCATTTAATTAAATTCTTAAATATTTTTATCTAAAAAAAACGATTTTTTTCGTTAACCCAAATGTATTTTTTTCGATGGAGCAAATAAAATAATAAATATTTTTTTTTCAAAATTTTAGACTCATTTTAAATTTTTGATTCCGTCACTGTCCTAAAATTCCTGAGTTAAACATTGGTAACTCTAATATGATTATAACCTCACAATTTAAGCGTGATTATAAAATAATATATGTTATAAATACTCTCAATCATTTGATAATGAACGTCAATCACTCTTGCAATCAGGGACGGAGCTCTCTTGGGACCCAAAGTAGCCCTGTCCCCTGTAAAATTATTTTATGCTTAATAAATTTTGATCTAATAGTATTTTAGTTCATGTAAAAATAAGTATTAAAATTAAGAAATATAAGAATTTATTAGATATTTAATCAAGTAAGGACCAAACTAAAGAATGATAATCCAATACCAACAACTGATTGATTTAGCATGATGAGGCACTAGATCCCTTAAGCAATATCAGGGGTTCAAATCTTGGCGATTGCGAATGGAGCAAACTGGGTTGGGAGGGTCGCTCTCGCCTCTGCAGTATCCGATCTGAATTAGTTTATCAATAGATTGGAAACCGGTGGTTATACAAAAAAATGATAATCTAATGATCTCAATTTTTTGGTCTAATAACAATTTAGGTCATTATAAATTTAATTATCAAACAAATAAGACATTGTCTTAT